CATGTCAGACCCGCTGAATGTAGACTTTTTGATGTCGTGTCCCACTCCCCCTTTTCCTCTTTGTGTCTGTCATAGCCTTTTAGGCTTCGCGTCCGCGACCGGACGGACTCAGGAGTTTTAGGTTTCTCCGAGGGCGCTCGCCACGATAAACGTTTGTTCACCTCCCGTCTCTGGTCGCATTTCCTCCTCCTCCTCCTCCTCCTCCTCTTCCTCCTCCTCCTCCTCCTCGAACGGACCCAGGCGCCGCGTCGGGGGGGGGGGCGCCCAGAGCCCAGCGGAAGAGGCAGGGGCAGGGGCCAGGCACGGAACGGGAGCGCCACAAGCTGTCTCGTTCCCTCGCCCTCCCCCCCCCCCCACCCCCACCCCAGAGGCGCGAGGGTAATTGTGCCGCGCGACCCTCCCGAAATCTGGGTCAGGGGCGGTTCGCCCGCAGATTGGTGGAGGCTTGAACGACTGCTGCGCTGGAGGCCAATGCCTGGCACGCCTTTTCGTTGTTGACAGCAGGTGCTATTGGATCCTATGATTCCATGCTACAGTAGGCGCCATCCTACTTCAATGATCGAGTGGGTTCCCCTTTTCTTTCATTTTGAGGGGCGGGCGGAAGCCGAATCTACCTCCAGCGCCTTTCTATGTCGTGTTTCTGCTTATTTCTTCCGACCGACGGGCAGGCCCAGTGAGCACGCACCTCAAAGTTAGGGGCGTGCCCGGATTGCGCAGTAGACCGGGGGAAGGGCCCACCGCCCGCATGCGTCTACGATCTTGGATGCCGGAGCATTTGCCCCATGCGCGCCCCGCCCGCCACATGGGCCCCAAGGTGGACGACCCAGGAAAGCAGCAGCAGGAGCAGGGGGCAGATGAGGGAACGACAGCGGGTGACTAGGACGAGCCAAGAGCCGTGGGCGGAGAGGTGCAAACACGCGCGGCGAGGCTCGTGGGCGGGGAGGTGTGGGGCGCGCGCTTCTGCAAGCGGGAAGCCGCGGCGCCAGCGTTGGTTGGCCGCCGCGGCCCATCGGCCCATCCTAGGCGGAACCCCGGATCGGCATTGCCATCCTTGTGGCGCGATGGTCTCGCTTTCCCATCTATGTAGCACCCAAAAGTCAGCGCAGGAGAGGCAGGGACCACCGCCAGCGCCACTTCGGCATTGCCTCCCTGGTGGCGCGACGGTTGCGAAACGCCTTCCCTTATATTCGATTACGCGTAAGAGTAGCCGCTTGCAGGAGTGGTGCGGGCCCAATGGGCCCAATGGGCCCCCCTCGATCGCGGAGTGCGATGCGATAGCGGCGGCCCGCGTGCGTGCGTTTGGCCTCGTCGCGCCCCCCAGAATCCGCGCACCAAAAGACATTCTTACCCAGGGTCGCTCGTGCGCGTAGTCGATTGATGTAGCATTCGAGGCTCAGCCTAGCATCGGCAGAGATCACCGTCAGACGGACAACCGTTGGGAAGCAAAGCTGACGCCGGGTGCGCCACGCGGACCAGGTGCGCTCCGCGCCCCAGGGGACCAAACGTACCAGGCGCGCCTGGTGAGTCTGATGCACTTCGTGCCTCACGTGCGCCAGGTGTGCCGCATGCTCCAGCCGCGCCACGCGCGCCACGCCTCCGATGTACCTGCAGAACGCGCCACGTGCGCCAGCGCGGGTAACAGCACACCACACACATCGTACGATATTTCGATACCCCCACAACCCGCACGAAAAGCCAATGCAGAGTAGCGTTTGGGGGTTCAGCATAGTGTGGTGTGCGCACCCGAACTCAGATCGCGTTGCGTTACCATGATTTGGATGGCGGGCGATCGCACAGCGGACAATTGTTCCGCCCGCCGAACATGTTTAGTTTGTTTGGTGATCAATTCTTGTGCCTCCCGCTGCCTCATCCTCCTTCTCCTCCATTTTCTTGTATATGCCTCATCATGTTGGTTCCTCATTTTTCCTCCTGCCTCCTCCGCTTTCTGTCTCCTCCTCCATGTGCCATTCCTTCTCTTCATACTTGTTTTGCCTCCTCCTCCTCCTCCTCCTCCTCCTCCGCCTCCTCCTTGTCCCCCTTATCCTCACAACAGGACCTCGTAAGGAGGGGCTTCCCGCTGTAGATTTACTCGCGGTTCACTCGCAGACAAGGCTCCCGCTTGAGATTTCTTCCAGGTTCAGGCCCCGAGAGCCCCCAAGTGACAACAGTTACAAGGATCGGATGACCAGCGCAGATTGGCAACATGGCATACGGGCCCCACAAGGGCAGTGTTCCCGCTCGATATGTTCTTCAGATCCAGACCCCCGGCACCGAAGAGTGACGACAGATATGGGGATCGGATGGCTTGCACGAATTGGTAACATGATCTGGCGGCCCCTAGAAGAAGGCTCCCGCTCGAGACATCATCGCGATTCATTCCCAGACGAGGTTCCCGCGCATGACTTCCTCCGCATTCATGCCCCAGGGGCCCAAAAGTGACAACAGTTTTTGGGATCGGATGACCTGCACGGATTGGTAACATGATCTGCCGGGTATAAGGAGAACGTTCCCGCTCGAGATTCCTTTGCGATTCGCTCACAGACGAGGTTCCCGCTCAAGACTTCCTTCAGATTCAAGCCCCCAGAGCCTA